CTTTGGTGCCAACTGCATTCATCATCTAGTAGCTGCCCCTGTTTGTGAAGGGTGAAGTAAAAAAGGCCTTAAGTACTTCAGCCTTCTCTGCATCATGCATAACTAGATCGCCTTCCACATTCCATGAGGGACCTATGGTTTCTCTGGTCTTCCTCTTACTTTTGGCATACTTGTAGAATTCCTTTTTATTGCCTTTTATGTCCCTTACCAGCTACATCTCAAATTGTGCCTCAGCTACCTTAATTTTCTCCCTGTATGTCTGTGAAATACTCTTATACTCTTCCCTGGTACCATGTAGGTTTGCTTTTTGAGTTTCAGCTCATTGAAGAGAGATTGCTGTCGAGCCAGACTGGCCTTCTGTCACATTTCTCATTCTTCTGTCATATCGGGATGGACCCATAAAAGGACCTCCTTAAAGAACAGCCAGCTCTCCTGGACTCCTTTTCCCTTCAGACTGGTCTCCCAGGGGATTCTGCCCACCAGTTCCCTGCATTTGTTAAAGTCTGCTTTTCTGAAGTCCAGTGTCTTTATTCTGCTGGTCTCCTTTCTTTCTTCCCTTAGGCTCTTGAACACTATCATTTAATGGTCACTGTCACCCAAGTTACCTTCCACTTTCATATTCTTAACCAATTCCTCCCTATTTGTGAGCTGCAGGTTGAGAAGAGTTTCCCCCCTAGGTGGCCTGCCTACCATCTCCATCAAGAAATTATTCCCAACACACTCCCAGAATTTGCTGGACTGCTTATGTATTGCTGTTTCCCTCCCAATACATGTCCCCGATAACATACTGGAAAAACAATTAAAATAAACGCCAACATATGGGAGCACATTAGGAATAGAAAGACTAGCTTGTGCACTTTTTGATATACAGATATGATAATGCAATCTTCCAATAAAAGATATGAGGGAGGCTTAGCTGTTTTTTTTCTACTTTGCAATAAGCGGAGAGAGAAAAGACTCACCAATGAAAGGTCTGGAGGGCACAGTTTTCTGGAGTTGATAGCTGCGCCAAGAAACTGGCTTCAGGCTAGGACACTGGTAGGCAACATCTCAGGCTAAGAGCATGTTCTTGGAAAATGAAAACAAAATTGGTTTGGCCATAATTTGAAATTTACAATACAAGACAAATTCTTTCTTCAGTGCCACTTGTGAACATCTGGAAAAGGC